TAGTTCTGCTGAATTCTCAAGCACTTCCCCTGTGCCTCTCCTGGGGTGCTGTGTACTTTTTCTCTGGTGCCATCACTCAGCCCCTGTCCTTTCTTCTTTGATGACTCCCTGTGGTGGATTCCTATTTGTTCCATCTCTGTGCTGTTCCCAGTGTCTAGTACAAGACTTTGCATGCAGTAGGCATGTAGGCATTTGAAGCATGAATGGATGGACCATCAAGAAGACCCATTGCTCACCATGCCAACCCAGCACTCTTGGGTTACAGCAGAAGTTCCAGTGCCACCAACTCCAGCTCCTGGGACAAACAGCTCTGAGCAGAGCTTCAAATCACCTTTGGTCCATGATATGGTTTGGCTTTGTCCCCACCCAAAATCTCATCTTGAATTGTAATCTGAATTGTAATTCCCATGTGTTGGGGAAGAGACCTTGTGGGAGGTAATTAGATCATGGGAGTGGTTCCCCCATGCTGTTCTTATAATAGTGAGTGAGTTCTCACAAGATCTGATGGTTGTTTAAGGGGCTTTTCCTCACTTTGCTATACACTTCTCTCTCCTGCTGCCATGTAAAGAAGGATGTGCTTGCTTCCCCTTCCACCATGACTGTAAGTTTCCTGAGGCCTCCCCAGCCATGCGGAACGAACTGAACCTCTTTCCTTCATAAATTACCCAGTCTTAGGCAGTTCTTTATAGCATGAGAACAGACTAATACAGTCCATGACATGGTTCATGAAGGGGACACTAACAATCCTAAATCTCTGGGGGATTCCCGTTTTAACTTTGTGTCTCAACTCTCATGGCCAATGAGGTCCAGCTCCAGCAGATAAGGCATTTTTCACCAAGAAGACATCTTGAGTCTTTGGGGCTTAGCTGGTTCATTCTCCAGTTGGAAAGCCCAGACTCAGAGAGGGGAAGTAACTGGCCCATGGTCACACATTGGCAAAGTGAGAACCAGAACCAACACCTTAGGATGTCCTATTTACAGCTTTGTTCCAAGTACCAGGGGAAATACAAGCTGGCCGACTTTTGACACCTCATCTGAGCAGAGTCAAATCAAAGTTTACTCAGCATGCTTAGTGCATCCAAAGACAAATGACCCAGGAGTCCGGGATAGTACATATGCATATGTGCATGTATGGGTGAAACAAAGGGCCAGTTAAGCGTGTATCCTACAACAGTTTTGCTTTACCTTGTTAAACACACACACACACACACATATTTACATTTCTCTTATAGGAACAGGACATATTTATTGTAAAAAAAAAAAAAGAACGTATTAAAAAGCATAGAGAAAAAAATTAAAATCATGTGATTTCCTACCACCCAGAATTAATAACCTACGTTTTTTAATTGACAGATAAAAATCGTACACACTTACCATGTACAACATGTTGTTTTGAAATATGCATACATTGTGGAATGGCTAAATTGAGGTAATTAACATCTGCATTATCTCACATACTTATCTTTTAGTGGTGAGGACACTTAAAAAAACTCTAGTAGGAATTTTCAAGAATACAACACATTGTTGTTAACTGTAGTCACCATGCTGTGTAATATATCTCTTGAATTTACTCCTAGCTAACTGAAATAGTTTATCCTCTGACCAACATCTCCCCAACTGCCCACTCAGCCCAGCCCCTGGTAACACCTGTTCTACTCTCTACTTCTATGAGTTCAATTTTTTTAGATTCCACATACAAGTGAGATCATATGGTATTTGTCTCTTTCCCTGAGTTATTTCACTTAACATAAGGTCCTCCAGATTTACCCATGGTGTCATAAATTGTAAGTTTTTTTTAAAGCTGAACAGTATCCATTGTGTACATGTACTGCATTTTCTTTCATTGATGGGCACTTAGGTTGATTCCATATCTTGGCTACTATGAACAATGCTGCAGTGAACACGGGAGTGTAGACATACTGATTTCATTTCCTTTGTCTATATATCCTGCGGTGGAATTGCTGGAATTTTTAATATATTTCTTTCCAGGCCTTTTTCTATACAAGTGGGAACTCCTTTAAGTGTTGGGGTGGTATTTTGTGTACAGTTTACCATCTTCCATTTTCTATTTAGATCTTAAGGCATCCTAGGATCCTATTTAGATCCTAGGGCATGAGCGTTTCCCCATATTATTGTAATATTCTCAAAAACTCCATTTAATGGCTGCTTAATAGTTCATTGTGTGCTATGGTTTAACCACTACTTTAGTGTTGGATATTTATAAACAGTACAGTGAAGAACATTCTTGAACAAGTCTTTACTCACATTTCAGATAATTTCTTTAGGACAAATTCCTAGAAGTGGAGGGTGGGAACATTTTTAAGGCTCTCAACACTTGCTGCCAATAGCTTTCCAGAAACATGGATGAATTACACCCCTGCCAGCTGCATTAGAGAGGAGCCTTTTGATTCTGCAGTTGCAGCAAGACCTCAGACTGGGGGAGGGGCACTCTTCCACCCAGAGCCTCTGGGCAGTCCTGACAATGGACCCCTTGTCCTGCCCACCCCCATCTCTTCCTCCTGCACGCCCCTCCATCCCTGGCTCCAGGCTGGGCTGTCTGCAAGGCCTGTGTTCAATCCGGTCCTGCCTTCTTGGCACTCCAGGCTGCCTCCAAGAGCTGGGTTGGTAGAGCTGAGGGATGAGAGATTTACCCGTTCTGGAGGGTCACCACCCTTCCAGCTTTGGGGAGGCCCCCAGGGAAAGTGAGAGAGAAGATGTATGAAGATTGCTGAATTATGTGCCTCTTTCGGAGAACCCCACCCAGTCTCCAGGGCAGTAACTTGCCCATTTAAAAGGGGAAAGCAGAGGCCACACTCAGTGACAATGGCTGTAAGGAACACTGGCCAGCATGTGGATGACCTCTGTTTCCTTACAGGCTCTGAAGCCCCTCCATGAATCCCCGGAAGAAGGTGGACCTGAAACTCATAATCGTCGGAGCCATTGGGTAAGCCAAGCTCAGCTCTGGGAGTTGGGAAGCAGCCCCTCACCCAAGGACAGTGAGACTCCCGGTGTGTTCCCATCTCCCATAGGTCCCTTTCTGATTCAGGGTGACACCAGCAACGGTATCCCACCCTCCAAAAAGCTTAGTTGGGAGAAAGAAGCTGTGTGTAAACAGATGGTTTCTAGTCCTGGATCTGCAGTGACTCTGCAGTAACCAGCTGTGTGAATTAGGCAAGCCATTTAGCATCTATCTGTCCTCCCACGTCCTACACACACAGAAAAAACCTGACCATCACTGTAAGATATTCCACTGTCTCCAGACTACTCTGCTCACTCTGCTTGGCTTCTACTTCTGGAAACCATTTCCTACTCCCTTGCTATTCAAAGTGTGGTCCATGGACCACAGAAATTTGAAATTCAGAATCTCAGGGAGAGACAGTGGCAAGAGGGGCCTGGGGAGATTCTGAGAGTGGTATGGAAGCATGTGCACGTGTGTTTGCATGTGTGTGTTCACATGTGTCTGGAATTTTCCTCAGTGTGGGAAAGACCTCCCTCCTTCACCAATATGTGCACAAGACGTTTTATGAAGAATACCAGACCACGCTGGGGGCCAGCATTCTCTCCAAGATTATCATATTGGGTGACACAACTTTGAAGCTACAGGTGAGCAGCCTTCCTTTTCCCTCTTCAAAGTACATACACTGAAAATCCGCCCCACGCCCTGACAGCCACTCATGTAGCAATGTGCACCAGAGCTGGAAAGGTCTAGAGCAGAAATGGGCAAACTTCAGCTCATGGACCAAATCTGGTCCACCTCCTATTTTTGTAAATAAGACTGCACTGGGGCACAGCCATACCCATTGGTTAACTTATCATGTTATGCACTACAATGGCAGAGTTGAGTAATAATTGGCATACAGAGACAGAATGACCTGCAAAGCCTAAAATATTTACTATCTGCTCCTTATAGAAAAAAAAGCTGATGCCTGATCTAGAAGGAAGGGCATTAATCCAGGAGTTGAGAGTCCCCATGCCTAGTCTCAGGTTCTCTGGAAAACTTGGCAGGTGATCTTAGGCAAGACATTCCCAAGGTCCAAGTTTCCAAAACTGTCAGATGGGAATAACAATTCCCACCTTGATGACCCGGAGGAAAAATGAGAGGTCGGATGTGAAATTACTCTCAGGATGTTAAATGTTACCGCAAAGGTGTTGGAGTGTATGTGTGTGGCAGGGTCAAGATGCCTCGGTGTGAAAGAACCATATGCACCTGTACCAGGGCTTGCTGCTCCCTACCCAGCACAAGAAGCCTTGACATGATGTAACCCAGCTGGGCCACCTTCCAGCCACTCATCACAGTCCCATGGGGCGGCTGCTTTCCCCTCCAGATATGGGACACGGGCGGTCAGGAGCGGTTCCGCTCCATGGTGTCCACGTTCTACAAAGGCTCCGATGGCTGCGTCCTAGCTTTTGATGTCACCGACCTGGAGTCTTTTGAAGCCCTGGATATCTGGCGGGGTGACGTCCTGGCCAAGATTGTCCCCATGGAGCAGTCCTATCCCATGGTGTTGTTGGGGAACAAGATTGATCTGGCAGACCGGAAGGTACTGTTCATTCATTTATTCATTCAACAAATATTATATGAGCATCCACTATGTGCCCAGCACAGTGTTAGGTCCCACACATACAGAGCTGAATCAGGCATAGTCCTTACTTCAGGAATTTCACAGTCTAGTAGTGGATACAGACACTTTAAAAGATAATTATAAAATAAAATGATAATTACGATACCATATGGTAAATGAAATAATAGAGATATACCTTGGGCATTAAGGAACCATAATAAAGGGGCATCTACCCAAGCCTAGAATATAGGACAGGCTTCCTAGAAGAGTTGCGTTCTGGGCTGAATAAACAGCATGATATAAACTGAGAACTAAAGGCAATTTTGTCCAGAGACAGGAAACGGAGGAGTTAAGGCATCAGATGTAGGCAGGAGGCAGGTCTCAGTGGAATTTGAATTAATCTGTAGCACAGGGTTTCTGCCTAGGTCAAGTTGGAGGTCTGCAGTTATAAATTCTTGGGTATACAAGTTTTCTGGGGAAGTAATAATTTTTTTATTAGCTGAACCATATTCCAGACCATCGGGTTAACCGCTTGACAGCTGGTCTGCCCTGTGACTACAGTGACCCACTTGTGTTTACCATTACAGGGCACTGAGAAGACAGCACTTTTAATCCTTGCCTACTAATGAGGAAAGAATATGGCAGACTGAATTTGTAAAAGATGCTCTTGGGCCAAAAGTCCAGATGCCACCAAAAAGAGCTGTTTAAACCAAGTTTCTCTTTTTAGTGTTTCAAATAGAGAAAAGTAATGGGGAACTGGATCATCTTGTCTGAACTGCATTTTCACAATGGTTCAAATTGAGAAAAGCAATGAAAATGAGGCATCATTTGGCGTGATGAAGTGTGTTTATGCATGGAGAAAGGGAGGGAGGGATGGTGCTTCCAACTGAGCTACCATCTACAGAAGAGAGAGCCTCTGGTTCATAGAGAAAGAAACATTTTTGGTTTGGACATGCTGAGTTTGAGGAGCTTGTACAACTAGTTGGAAATGGCCAGCAGGCTTTGGAATGCATAAGAATGAAATTTCAAAGGAGAAGTATGTGCTGGAAATAGAGATCTAGGAGTCATCTGTTCCGTGGTCACTTCAGGTTGTAAACTCCATGTCAATTCTCTAATTACAAATATCCAGCCTCAGATAATAAGCAAGGTCTTAAGTTCATTCAAAGGCAAGGTGTCTCCATTTTTTCCCCCACTGGGACCAGCTGTGGGTGAGAACCTTGTGGTCTAAGAGAGGGAATAGGTCCTTAGAATCTCACCGCCAAGCTTAATGTCCATCCACACTTCCTCCTCTTGTCTGGGGTAGTAATTCCAGTTTCAGACCCTGTCAGGAGTAAAGCAGGAAGAGGGAGAAGAGGTCAGGAGAGCAGGGCAATTCTAATTTGACTGGTACTATCATAAGACAGTCTTGGCTGGGCACGGTGGCTCATGCCGGTGATCCCAACACTTTGGGAGGCCGAGGCAGGCGAATCATGAGGTCTGGAGTTTAATATCAGACTCGCCAACATGGTGAAACCCTGACTCTACTAAAAATACAAAAGATTAGCTGGGCATGGTGGTGGGTGCCTGTAGTCCCAGCTACTTGGGAAGCTGAGGCAGGAGAATCGCTTGAACCAAGGAGGCGGAGGTTGCAGTGAGCCGAGATCGTACCACTGCACTCCAGCCTGGGCAACAATGTGAGACTTTGTCTCAAAAAAAAAAAAAGAAAAGAAAAGACAGTCTCGCACTCTCTGGCCTGACAGGTGTTGCAAGCTCTTTCTTCTGTGGGTCACTCGTGTGGGTCCTTTGGAAGTCTCCACTGGGAACATTTCGCTGTACCTCCCATGACAAGGGTCTTGCATTCTCCTCCCCAACCCCTAGCTTTCAGCATCCCCACCCCATGGGGGTCACCTTTTCCTCCAAGCAGTTTCTAAGTGGGATTTAGCCAGCCCCAGCCTGTTGTGCACTCTCTTTCTCTCCCTTGCTCTCTCTCTCTCTTTGTTGAATCCACATGTCCTTCACAAGGTACACACATGCGTTCTGGCTCCACTGGGGGACAAGGGTAAGCTGGTGCTCGGTGCAGCCTCTTCTCTCTCTGCCCTGTTGCCTGTTGCCTCAGATACCTCAGGTATGTGTCAGACACCAGTCCACCATGTCCACCAAACTCCAGGGGTTGTACATTAACGACTCTCCTCAACACCATCTTTCAGCTAGAGGTGAGTCCTTACCTGTTCCTCCTCTTGGGAGAAGCAGGGGTAGTTGTACCCACAATACAACTCTCTCCAAGGAAATCCCTCCTAATCCTCATTTTCAAGCCTTTTATATCCATGCTGTGGGATTTCAAGTCATCCAAGAGAGTCTTGGTCATGAGCCTTTGGGGATATGTACCCAGGGTGGACTGTCTCCACTTGCTTTATCTCTGACATCTGTCCAGTTGTTGTGCCTCTGCCAAAACTTTCATTTTAACATCCATCTTGTTTCTTGTCTGTAGGGTGGGGGGAGGGAAGCTGGGGGAGTTCAAGACCAAGAGTCAGTGAAATAAGAGGTGCCATCTTCTGTTGAAAGGGAGGAAACCAATACGAGGCTTAAGAACCATGAGGAAGCTTTGCCAGTTACTCTTGGAAGAAGTGGGAGGAGGAGCCACTTGGGGACAAGGACAAGATCTGATGGGTGACACCAAGGACTCCACCGAAGGAGGAGACCATGAGTTTGAGGTGGGGTCTGTGTAGGGTACAAGCCAGGAGCAAGGAACTTTGGACTAGGGCTTTTCCAACCAAGAGAAGAGGAAGGACAGAGCTGTGAGGGCACCAAGAAACCATGAAGGAAAGAAGAGGGACCAGGGAAGGCGGAAGGGCCAGGGCTGGGGTGGCAGAGGCTGGGGAGCAGGGCAGCAGGAGGGAGGGCCTGAGGGGGTTGAGGGAAAGGAGATCAGGGCACAGGAGACCAGGTTTCTTCTTTTACAGAGGTCCTGAGAGGAAGAGGCTGACATGGAGAGAATGTGGGCAGCAAAGGATTTCTGAGGCTACCATGAGAGGTGGCCGTTGTGTGTTGAGGGGTTAGGAAGCCTCACTACATGGCAAGTGTTTAGTGAATGAGGGGCATCTGGCAAGGTGAGGAAGGCAGGTGTTGACTTGAGGGAGTAGAGGGGGTCCAATCCAAGCCTCAGGGTTGGGTGAGCTTTGGTGCCCAGAGAGAGGAAGAACAAAGGTTTGAAAGAGGCAGTGAGGCACCAGGCAAGCCAGCCCCCTCTCTCGGATCTGTGATGAGTAAAGTCTGCAAATAGCCCCAGTGCGGAGGGCAAGAGGGGGTGCTGGGGAAGCATGACTCTAGGAAAAACCGGGGTTCAGCCAGACAGGGAGGTCCCTGGAGAGGTGGAGGAGGGGTGAGGAGAGGATGGAGGAGAGGGGAGCCTGTCTCCCAACAAGGTAGGCCCAGAGATGGGGTTTGTAGGGGAGGTGGACTAGGATAGGGGAGGGGAGGAGGCACTGAGTGATAGTGAAATCAGAACAGGGACGTGGAGAGGAGGAGGTGGGTGGGAGAGAGCAGAAGGACTTTAATTCTGAGACCTGGGATTATAAAGCCCCAAGAGGGGAGGCTGGGAAGTGCCAGCCTTCAAATGTCTTTACTCTGCACAAACCTAGCAAGGGCTCTGCCTTCCCCTGGCCAGGTGTTGACATGGAGAAGGAGCCAAGAGGTACGTTCTTGTGGGGCGCCTTCTCCTCGGAGCCTGTCCCGCAGATGCGGGCTCACACCCGCCCACCTGGTCCATATGCCTCCATTACCTCCTCTGCGGGGTGGAGACCAGAACACAGACTTCCTGAGACTGAGTAATAATAGGAAGGATGTGATTTCCATAATGGAAATAATGGAACGAGGAAATGATCCTCCTGATTATTATCTCCAAGGGACAGCTGGGAAAATACAGCAGCTTCTCCTATCTAATAAGAAGAAAATGAGTATTTAAAATGTACTGCAGCTTGGTCCAGTGGCTCACGCCTGTAATCCCAACACTTTGGAGGACCAAAGTTGGGGGACAGCTTGAGCCCAGAGTTCGGAACCATCCTGGGCAACATGTCGAGACCCCATCTCCACAAAAAAAAAAAAATTTTTTTTTTAATTAACCGAGTGTGGTGGCACACCTGTATTCTGAGCTACTCGGGAGGCTGAGCTGGGAGGATCTCTTGAATACGGGAGGAAGAGGCTGCAGTGAGCTAAGATCACACCACTGCACTCCAGCCTGGGCGACAGAGCAAGACACTGTCAAAAACAAAACAAAACAAAACAAAAAACCGCACACACACACACACACATCATATATACACACATATACATACATATATATACACACACATATTTATAATATATATATAGCCAGTTTAGGAAGGTGAGAAAGTTCTGAAGATGAATAGTGGGGAATGTACAGTGTGAATACAATATGAATGTACTGAATACCCATGAACTGTATGCTTAAAAATGGTTACAATGAGTCAGGTACATTTTATCTGTAATCCCAGCACTATGGGAGGCTGAGGTGGGAGAATCGCTTGAGGTCAGGAGTTCAAGACCAACCTGGGCAGCATAGCAAGACCCCCCCATCTCTCCAAAAACAAAACAAAACAAAACAAAACAAAAAAAGTGTTTCATTTAAAAATAGTAAATTTTATTAGGTATATTTACCACAATAAAAACAGGCATGTATGGCCAGAATAATTTTAAAGAAATTACCGATTTAGCTTAAAAAAAATCCCTGCTCCTTCTATAGAAGGTAATAGGGAAAAAAATAGTTTGTTAGAAAGAACAGCTTTGCTGGCATCTGTGCTACCAGGAGTTTATTCACTGGGGCACGAATTATTTGCTGTGTGCTCAGGTGGGTAATTTCTGATTTACCAGTGATTCCGTAGACTTAAGATCATGTTTTCTAAAAATATCCTTTGTTATTTTTAGTGATGGCTTAATGGTTTAGTAATTAGTATTTGACATGCTAATTTTAGCACTTGTATAAT